AAAGACAAACTTTTTTTTCTATTAGTAAAATGGAGCAAAAATCAAAATATCCTATAAGAAAATTAGAAATATTAACATGAGATGGAGCAGCAAAATTCACAAGACAAAAGAGAAAAAAAAATTAAATGAAAAAGAACTTAAAACTGAAGAAAAAGTGTGTGTTGGGAGGGGGGGTAGTCCCAAATGCCTGTTTTGTTCTCTGTTTGTATTGTATCCCATTTGCATTGAAGATTGCTTTAACAACAAAATTCAATATTTTCCTTCTTGTTAACTTAATTATAGAATTTAAAAAAAAAAAAAAAAAAAAAAAAAAAACCAAAAAAAAAAAAAAAAAAAAAAAAAAAAACAAAAAAAAAAAAAAAAAAAAAAAAAAAACAACATTTAAGCAGTTACCTTGTAAGAACTGCAAGAGTTTGGTTTTAACAAAATAAGCTTCTATTAACATTCAAAAATTATTACCTTTGTTCCATAAGAGTAATTACACTTAATGCACAAAATGTACAAAAATCTAACTATTATGGGACACAGATAATACTTTTTTGTGTTATTTTCTTTTTAAACTGTTTTTTTATTTCTTTCTTTTGTTTAATCATTGAATAACTATTAGTTCATATTAATTTTTAACAATCACAAATGAGGTTGGTACAAATGGTGCATATCAAAATATGTACTGATCAAACAAACTGTTATATTCCCTGCTAATAGGAATATAAACTTGAAAAACAAAATGGATAAAATAAGTAGAGGTTTATTGTAAAAACCAATACAATAAGAATAAAGGTAACAGTTATGCACAAGGTCATCCCAAGTCAATCCAATAGTGAGTACTACTAGTTCTCATGTAAGTCTGAGTTGTACTCAACAGATCCCAGCTAGACGATATTTACCAGCCTCCTCAGGAGGTAGGATGTGGCACAAGGCCAAATTTAATGTGGGGTAATCCAAGCCCATGAGCTTGGCCAAAAATTCCCCGTAACCCTGCATAAATGGATTCAGATCTGTCTACATCCCCAGACGAGACTCTACCCTTCAGCATAGCCTTGTCTGGGTTACTCTCTGCCCAAAGGCAGAGTGTTCAACAGCCAAGATCTGAGCAACAGATCCCAGCTAATGTATTTACTAAAAGACAAGTGTATTTTAACACATAAAACAAATTTTATTCATTTAATGCCTGAGAGCAGCAAGGATTTGTTTGGATTTAAACCATGAATTCCACGTGTGTGTCAGCTTGTCACCATGTTGAATTCAGAAATGCAATACTGTTCTCACAAACAAGGGGATTAACTCAATTGTATTTTGAGTTATTGTCCTTTCTCGACAAAGTAAGTTAGCATCCCCTAACCGTAAAAGGAAAGGAGGCACGGTGGAGTAATGGATACTGGCTCGGATTGAGAAATCGAAGAGTTGAGTTTGAATTCCAGTCGAATCCATTACATTCACTTACACTTGGGTAAGGTATGAATCTTCTCCCCCAGCTATGAGTAAATAGCAGGACAGACTGGGTTCTATAGCCTTGGATGGCAACTGGTCTAGTGTAGAAAGAAATGGCAACCTACTGTGGGAAAAAAATCTGCCTGGTCAGTCATGTATCGAAAGATTCATGATTGCCTAAGCGTGTATCATGCATGGCTCATAACTGACTGAACCGTAATTATCTTGTGTTTGAGTTTGATAAAGGATTATTTACAAACACCTAACACCTTGTAATGATCAAAGATTAATGACTGAAAAATCTTGGTTTATAAAAACAATAATAATAATCAATAAAGACAGACTAAGAATAAAAATGAAAACATTCTCAAAATTGGCATTACTGAGGTTAACTTGCATCCTTTGAAAACTGTCTTTCCATAATCAATGACTTACCATGTAAGGCATCATCTGCTGTCATTCAAATCCAATTATATAGTTTTCTTTATTTCCCCAAACACTTATATTACCATTTTTATTTACTTATGTGATTAGTATTATGAGCAATAACATTTTTAATTTCTTAGATAAAGAGTCCTCAATTATTATTCATTTTTGACAAATATTGCTTTTACTCTTGGTAGTAATAGGTTCAAGGTGTCTGAACCAAAACATTGTCAATTATTCATTTTTGATTAATTTCATATTAATTTTAGTTATTTTTATCACACTTTCTTGATTGTCATTCCACTTTTGTTAGTAAGATACAGAATTAAAATCTGGAAGTTGCAATAAAAAGTAACTGAAATTAAAATGAAAAATTAATAACACTAACATTTTCTGTAGATTGAATAGATAAAATAAAAACAAGCAACAGGTATTTTCTTTGTAATGTCATGGGTAGAAGAAAATCTAATGAATACTAATGTCCAAAAATTATTAATAAAAAAAAGATAAAATTTTATTTACATTTTTTACGAGTGGACTATTTAAACTCTGTAGTGCCCCAGAATTTACCTTAACATTATAAAGAAATAATTTCACAATATTTAAAAGTTAATCAGCTCAAGTGTATTTTAAAAAGAAATAAGCAAAAAGAAATATAATAATGAATAATAAAAAGTGCAATCCTTTGTGACAGAAGCAAAGTATCAAAGACATATTAAGAGGCAGAAAAGTAACTTAAATGGCAATCACAGAATAAACAAGACATTTGCTAAGAAAGAATTAAAAAAAAAATTTTTTCTGAGATTTCAAAGATATAAACCTTCAAAGCCATAATTCAGTCAGAGTTAGTTTCTTACCTGGCATCCATAAAACTTCTGGGAGGAATATAGCAACAAACAAAGAGTTTGAAAATAAACAGAAAAAATAATGGATTTCCCCAAAATATTAGCTCTTAAAATGACATGAAAGGTACTTGAAATCAATCAATAGACAATACCATTTCATTTTCTGTAAATAAGATGATCTCCCAAAACATTAAAACAATAGAAATAACATTATTTACCAAACACTGATGAAAATAATTTTCCAATAAAAAAGCAAAATAAAACAAAAAAGAAAACATACATATCAATATTCATTATCCAATTAGCACATTGACTGTCAACCATGAGTTGACTCGGGGTTGGCAGTTTTTATTATGATGCTGACTAGAAGTTGACTTGAGCTTGGCAGTTTTTATTATGATGCCGACTAGAAGTTGACTTGAGGTTGGCAGTTTTTATTATGATGCCGACTAGGAGTTATCTTGTATTGACTAAGAATTGAGCTTGGAATTTTCTTAGGCATTTTCATCCGTGGCCATTTATTTGCAACGATACTTTTAGTGTGAGAAAATGTTAAGACTTCAGTTGAGCCAATAAATGAACCCATAAAAATTTTTATTACCTAAGCTGGCTGTTATAAAGTTGGCATTTGAAGTTAGATTTCATAATTGACCTCTGGCAGTCAACAGAAAGATTTGTGTGATTTAGTATTTCAATATTTATTCATCTCCTCCTCAAGAAAATTATAAAAGGAAGTAACTTTTTTTGTTTCTCTAGGAACATATTCAAGCAAAATTTAAGAATTAAATGTAAAACTTCCAAAACTTTTGTTAATATCAGTCTTCTCCAGAGATAAGAGGAATATTGCTACATTTTAATAACAATTGTAGAGAATTTAAGCAATAAATATAAACTTTTAGAATTACAATTCAGGGACCCTAATCTCAGGGGGTCCCTGAAGCAACATTTTTTAATGAGTGAATTTTTCAACAAAATCGATGTATTTTTTTTTGTTTAAGCATTTATTATTAAAATAAGGCCTATTAGAATCCTAAGCCAATGGTTTGAAATAGCTAATGTTGGCCTTAGAATGTGCTCTAATACCCATTTCATATGGCCTCAAAATCCCCCTAAAATTGGTCAATTTTGAAAATTTTTCTTGGGTGGTTGCAGTGACCCCCCCCCCCCCAGCTGCATGTGTTCATTGATCTCACCAGAATCTATTCATAACCTACATTTTGGCATTTGGAACCTCAAATCTATTTCTGGTTGCAAAGAAGCAGCCATATCTGTTCAGTGTTCAAGCTTCAGATCCCCCAAAATACAGGTCTGCCAAGCAGTAATTAACATATTATCATCATACAGTTAAATATATGAACATTTTGAGTAACACAGGACTTAAGACTTTCGCTAAAAAGCAATTTTTGCTAATAAACAGTTTAAGAAAATTTAATCATTACAATGAAAAATTGATTAAATAATAAAATTAAATTTTATTATGCATGGCAGAATTTTTAGTTATCAGAATTTGATTGAATGAGTTGCTTTATTTGGGAATTAGAAAATTCCAATCATTTAATAAAGAAAGAAATGCTTAAGCAAACATCCACATAAAAGGAAATGATTTACAAAGAATTTAACCAGAAATCCAAAAATGAGTATTTTTCATTTTGTTTTCTTTAAAACTTCATTGGTCTTAAAAAAAAATAAAAAATAAAAAAAAAAAATAAAATGAATATATATATATATATATATATATATATATATATATATATATATATATATATATATATATATATATATATATATTGTAAAGTACCAAGGCATAAGTGTAAGTAAACACACCATTTGGTAGACTAAAAGACATGCAAGCTTACCAAAATATAGCAGTTGGCCAACCAGCAGTTGTATTCTGGTACACTTATATTTATATTGATCAGCCTATGAACTTTCCAGCTATATATATATATATATATATATATATATATATATATATATAAAATGAAAACTTACCTTAGGCACTGCATTTCATTCACTGCCTTGATAAAATCCCATAGAAGACGAGACACATAAAGTAAATTTCCTTTTGTCTTTATTCATTTTTTTCCTTTTACAGATACACTCTATCTGTAATTTTGACATTATATTGAAATTCTTAGATCAACCAAGATAGGAAAGAAAGAAAAAGAAATGATTTCTGGTCATATTCTGAGAATTGAATCAGGCCAAGAACCCCCCACCAAGTGTGTGTGTGTATATATATATATATATATATATATATATATATATATATATATATACACACACACACATACATACATAGATAGATAGATAGATTGGGTTTCTCTAATATTAGTGCTTCTACATATTAAAACAAATGAACTTTTCTAACATTTTTCCTTGTAAATAATTTCTTAAATAAAATTCATTAAAATAGTATTACAAAGATTTAAAGTTTTTTGAATATTACAAGACCAGATAAAAGTTATTCTTGGAAGAGGATACTGCATTAAAAAAATGTTCATGTGCTACTCAACAAGTTGAGGCTGGTACTTATATTAGGAAATAATAAACATCTACAATTTGTGTAGAGGAGCAGGAGGCAGTGTGGGGGAATCAGGCATAAGAACAATTAAACATCTGTTAAGTACTGGGGAGAGTTTCTATTCAAAGCTAACAGTCAACATTACTGTAAAAAAAATTTAAATTTAAAAGAAATAACAGACAGACCTTCATTAACACTGAAAATTCATATTAAAACATATTTTGAATTTTCAAGGCATTTCTCCAAAATAAAAAAATTTTTAAAAATAGAAAAAAATAAATAAAGAAACAGCTGAAATATGACTCAAATTTATATTTTAAACTTACAAGTTTCTGAAACTTCATTTTTTTTTTTTTTTTAAAGTCAACTTTGAACAGGTTAATCATCTCACATTGCAAGGTCTTCTTTCAGATAAGCAATATGGCTTATGCTTCTTTAGCTCAACTGCTGATGTATTAACGATTATTGCCAAAAGAGTCTATCAAGCTTTAGATAAGACTCAGGCTGTTAATTAGACCATCTCAAAAGCATTTGACTGGGTTTGGCATACTTGTCCTCTTCACAAGTTGAAAGGTGACAGTATTTCTGGATTCATTTTTGGACCGATTCAGTCTTTCTTATCAAATCGTAAAATGAAAATTGTCCTGAACAGCCACTTTTCTAAGTCTTTTTGCATTAATGCAGGTATCCCCTAGGCCTCTATCTTTAGACCTATGTTGTTTGTAATTTTCATCAGTGATCTTCCTTATGGATTCAGTTCTCAACTCAGTATCTATGTTGATAACTCAACTATTTACTCCAATCTTAATAGTAAGCGACTGGTTCAATAAAGTCAAACTAGCAGCTGATCTAAGTGCCTAAAATCTGCTGTTAACTTGGGCAAGAAATGACTTGTTAATTTTAATGCCTCCAAAACAAAACTGCTTTCTATTAATCATCTGAGAGACCCCTTTCTGCTTTTCATAAATATGAGTCCAGGGTATGATGATAAACTATATCTGGCAACAAGGCCTCTGAGCAGGAAATTGAAGATTTTGAGGAGTATGGAACCACCCCTTAATTGCTATTGTTCCCAGGTCCACCCTGGCCTGGGGTGGTAGCACCTATTACGGTCCTAGCTATGGGAAAATAGTTACCCTTCTCTAAACAAAACACTATGGAAGTATAAAAATACATTTTTATAGTAAAAATACCAGCAATACATTTTTATATTTATAAAAAAAATTAATAACAGTACATATTTATAATAAAATAACCAATAATACATTTTATCTGTAGTTGAAGGCATACAAATGCATTCAAAATAATTAGATTTCAGCATTAAATAACATTGATATACTGCTAAACAAAATGAACTAACCAACATGAAAGAACTCTTTCATGACATTAATCCATATAATATCCTACAATTTCTTAAAGAAAACAAACGGTATTCCAAAATATAACTTCAACAAAACTACTACTTAAATCACATCTTACTGCCTCTAGTATTTTCATACAAACATGTATACGCACAAAGATGAACATCATCTACCATGTATTCAATTGTGAAAGCATAGTAACATATCATATTTTAAGGCCCCTGCGCAGGAGATTTCAGAAAAATTAAATTTTGGCATTAAATGCCCCCCCCACCCCCAAGAGTTGATACGCTGTTAAACAAACAAATCAAATTCATCAGTATGGCTGATGCTAATCTCCAGGAGAGTGATTTGTTACACCATCTCAGGTTAACATTCTCTGCTGACATGAAGTGGAAAGATTATATTCAGCCATTTGCTAGGAAAGTCGGTTCACTGTATTGTGCTAGAAAGTTTTTTCTCCAGAATGTATCTTAAATATTTATAAGTCTAATATTTGTCCATGCATTGAATATTGCTGCCATATATGGTCTGGTGCTCCTGTTATATATCTAGAGATTCTTGATAAAATCTAAATTCTAAAGAAGAATTTGTAATGTTATTGGTCCTGGCTGCAGTCACTTTCCCACCACCACTGCCTTTTCTATAAATACTTTCATAATAATTGTTCTTGATTAATTTTCTTCTATGGTACATAGACTCTGTGAACATGACTAGATTGGTAGCAATTTCTCATCATTTTCTTGGGTAGGACTAGATTGGTAGAAATTTCTCATCATTTTATAGCTGGAATAGGTAGATGTAACCATAAGTTCTTTGTTAATCATTTCTTTTCTCACTTGTGGAACTCTCTTCTGGCTTTCCAGCCAATTTTGATCTTCAAAAATTTAAATGCAATGTCAATTGTTATCTACTGCTTTCTAGAATCCACTTCTTTTATTATTCTCACTACTTAATATGTTTTTCTTTTTTTATTCTTTCTTAATCAGTAACCCCACCTTGTGTCTTAGTGGCTTTATTGCCTTGATTTGGGTGAAATGATTAAAAAAAAAAAAATAAATAAAGTAATTAACTTAATATAAAGTTAATATACTTTGATCTTTTCATACTCTTTTCTCATCTTTGGTCATAACATTACAGACAAAATGTTTCGGCTGAGTAAACTCCGGTCATTTTCAGGTACCATTTTTGTCAAAGGGTTATCTTATATTAGTTGATTACATAATTTTGTCACCAGGATGCAGTTTCTTGCTGAACCAGACTATATAAATTTAACTACCTGATCCAGGGAATGAACTCCTAAACATTAGAATGACTGAAACATTTAACCAGTGCTTATACCGCCATTTCAAATGACATCAAATGATATTTTAGAGTCTGTTAAATTTAACATCAAATGGTTTTGATGTTTAATTACCACATTATGTTTGTAACTCTTTGATATATATTTGATCTAAGAGGAGGGATTGTCAGCACACTTTGATCTTTTCAAACTATTGTTCTTATCTTAGGCTGTTATAGAGGTTATTACAGACACAACGTTTAGATCCTGTTTCGGTTAAACACTTCTAAAATCCACAATGGAATATTGCCCCCCACCCAAATGATATTATGAACATTTACAAAAATTAGAAAAATTTGTTGCGTTTATGGAAAATTATTTTTTTTTAATAGACTATTTTTTATAATCCTAAATTATTTCCTATTACTAGAAACTTTATTTTTATAGTTTATGTATATTTGAATTGACACCTCAATCTCTAGGCAGGTTGATGTTAATTTTATTGTTTTAATAATAGTAGCGTCTTCTCAAACAGGTGCATCCACTAAAAATAACATTTTTTATGTCAAAATTATGCTTATAGATGCAGCTGTAAATTTTATGCTGAAATAAAATTCTTAATAGATTTATTTTTAATCTGACATCTATTACTTAAATGTTATTTTTTAGTGGATACTCATCTTTGAAATAGACGCCTTGTTTTTATTTTAAACAGGGTGTATTATATCTATCTGCCTGTGCACTTGAGAAAATTTAATTAAAAAAAAAAAAAAACATGCCTTCTGGCAGGGTACAAACATGCATCCTCCTTTGTAAGGAGAAACTATTGTTTGATCCAATGTCCCTTGGAAAAATCTGAACAAGGAAATGAGCCTTCTTTAAAAGGAAACTAGAACTTTGCTGGGCTGTTCACTCTCTATGGTTGAAAGCACTCTGGATCAAATGGTTTCTTCTATAAAGAGGGACACAGATTTGTATCCTACGAGAAAGCAGATTTTCCTTCTCAAATGTGCAGAGCAGGCTACAGATGTAATCATCAGAATCATGAGACCCATAATCCATTAAGGTCATAGAGGGCACCACATGTACTGCAGCTACAGTAGTAGTGGTGTTTCCAGGGCAAGATAACCTGATGGAGCCCAACCCTCACAAGGCTGGTACTGAATTCAAAGTTTTCCTTTCTCATAGACTTGTTGCCACCCAAAGCTATAGGACCTAGTTTGTCCTGTTATTTTATCCATAGCTGGGTAGAGAAGAGATGGATTCATACCTTTCCCAAGAGTGAAAGTAATGAACTCAACTGGAATTCAAACTCTGCTCTCCAGTTCCTTAATCTGAGTCGCTATCCATGACTCCACCGTGAATCCTAAAATGTAGTACACCCTTTAAAAAAAAAAAAAAAAAAAAAGATTATAACAGGGTGTCTATTTCAAATACGGGTATCCACTAAAAATAAAGAAAAAAGTTTTCTTGTGACTTGTGCTGAAAGTGAAGTTATCTTTCTTACCGTAGGCGTCTTTTTGTCACGGCCATCTTCTTCTAACCATTTGTCTGTCTTTCTTTAAAAAGCATCTCACGCAAACAGTATATCATTTTGATAAAAGCTACCTAGTATATGACTATGTTGCTTCCTCTTTCATCACTTATTTTTGAAAGAAAATGAACAATGAACAGTCTTTATATTAAGAATCACTTCCATTTCCCTAGAGTTTGCTATCAAGTACCACCTCCTCTTCCTCCCCCTCTTACATTCCAACATGTTGATACAAATGTTGTTTTATGAAGCATGATAAATGGCTGGCTTCTCATTTTCCAAGTAAGCCTCTCTTCTTGGGGGCGGCTCAACAATCCCTGTTGCAGACGCCTGCTCAAGCACATTTGTGTTTGTTCACCACCCACAGAACCCACTTGTGATTTGTACTGCAACTATGCTGAGCAGACTTTAGTTACAGTTTCTGGGAGGGAGTACACAATTTAGCATGACCAACATAATAATAAAAATAATTTTTCTTGTCAGAATCTATCTTACACATTTATAAGTACCATTTGCCGATGCATTGAATATTGCTGCTAAATCTAGTTTAATGCTTATGCTATATATTTGGAGATTCTAGATAAAGTACAAAGAAGAATTTGCAATGTTATTGGTCCTGACCTGACATGTAATGCCTCT